CTGGACTCATCTCTTTTCAACTATTTGGAAAACTCTGTCAGTTCACAGTGATAGAATTGTAGGCTCCCCTTTGGTCTGGGATTCTTGCCCTTGTTATTCCTCTGCAGGCTGGGCTAAATGCTGGGACCGAGTTCCCACTGTGGTCCTGGGGTCTAAGCCACAATGCTGCTGCTTGCTTCTGAACTTCCACATTCCTCAGTACATTGCCTAGGGCCTCCCTACCTGGGAATGCCACCACCCATTGTACAGGCCCCCCTCTCAGTCTACCCTGGATTTATGATCCATAATTGGGTAGTGGGCAACAAAGCTGCCAGTTGGCACCTATCCTCATTGTGGGAAAAACATTACAGAAATATGAGCTATTATTGCTTGCTCATTATTTAGGTCTCAGAAGAGTATTCAGAAGAATCAATTTTTTTCTTTTACATTCTCAAATTTTCATTTGCTAGTGGATAGTATCAGCATCAGAACTACCCCTCAAAAATTCCTGTATGGCAAAGAGTACAAGACTAATTATTCCCATTATACAAATAAGCAGAATGAGGCAGCGAGTTGTCTAAGGACATACAGCTAGGAAGTGGAGTAAAGACTCAGACTACAGTAGGCCTGCTGAGTGCAAGTCTAGTGGTCTTTCCATGATGCAGATATCCTACTCCCTCAGAGCTATATCCTTATGAAAGAGGCAGTCCTACGGATTGTCTGGCCCCTCAAACATTGGCATCATTTTTAAATGGAATCTGTCATGTGAGATCTGTATCTTAGGACATTTAGAAAATGCCTCCAATTCAAGACAAAAAATATCCACTTGATTCAATTTGCTTTAATAATAGATGAGTAAAATGATATCTTTGGGATATAATGAATTGAGAAAAAACTGTCTTCACATTTTCAAGTCGTGGAGTATCCAATGATATCTCTTCCGAAGAAAAAGATAACAATGGGAAAGAGTAAATGACGAGTGCTTTATGAGCGGTATAGATGAGAGAGTTCAGATTTGATGCTGCAAGAGTTCAAATGAAGGAGAGAGAAGTTCAGGCTAGAATGGTCACTTCCCAGAAGAAGCAGGTGGTCTCCAAACCTCTATCCTGGGCCTGTTTCTCTTCCCTTTCTTTTTTTTTCTTTCTCTTAGTGACCTCATCAGTTCCCATGAGTTTAATTGTCATTTCTACGCTGATGATTCCCAGATCTATACATTGAGACTCAGCTTCTCTCCTGAGCTTCAGACCTGCATCACCAAGTGACTACTGGAGATTTGAACAGATTTTCAAAGGAATCTGAAATGCAAATTTTCTAAAATGGTCTCAGAGCAAAGCAATTGCTAGTAAATTGCTTTTTGGTAAAGGATAGATGTCTTTCATTAGATAAGCAAAAATAGTATTGCAGCCATAATTATCCTCAAGAAGACTTTTGATCTGAGGCATTCAAGGTGATTATAAAGAAAGGGTCTATTCAAGCCTGGCCCAAACCTGGGTTGATAAGAGTAAGGATTAGTGAATAAAGGTCATTGCTATTCCCTAATTCTTTTATTCATCTTTGATTGGACAGAATGCCTTTGCAGATAGAAAGCTTCGCTCAGAGTCAGAAATACCTGGTACTGCCTTTGACCCATAGTGGCTGTGTGACTGTGGGCAAGTCACTTAAGGTCTCAGGGTCTGGATCATTCTAGTGGCTTTCCTCTGCTCATTACTATTTCCAGTAGATCTTGTGTGTAGCTGATTTGTAAACAATTATTTGCATGTTGTCTCCCCCATTACACTGTGAGCTCCTTGAGACTACAGGCTGCCCTTTATACTTCTTTGTATCTCCAGTGGTTAGAATAGTACCTAGAACGTAGTAGGGGATTAGTATTCCTTGACTGACTGACGGGGCAACTCTTCAAGATTCTAGGTTATGTGGATACTAGACTGCATGAAGTCACAGATTAAAGAAAAAAAAAAGTTAACTTCCTAGCAAATTCTGTTCCAAAAGGTCCCTAATCTCTCAGCTTTAGTAGATGACCATTCTTGCTACAGAGGCCTCCCCGATGTGACCTTCCTTAATGTCCCTTCTTCTCTATCTTTGCCCATCCTCTCCTTCTTCCAATAGTTCTAATCTCTCTGCTAAGAATAAAGAAATGATAGACCTTATTCTTAATAGAGAGGTAGGACTATGTCATGGTCCTAACACCTATTCCGACTCCCAGGACCTTACTCTATTAATTATTCCTTTTCTGTTGCACTTCCACCTTTCCCTCCCTAGCAATGGTTCTCCCTCTGGCAAAAACATGCTCAGGTCTCTGCTGTCCTTAAACATACAGAGCCTTTCCCTTAACTTAGTTGATGTTGCCAATTTGTACTTCACCTTCTCTCCCTACTTCCTTTCCCTTCCAAATTTTCATCAAGCACAGTCCACTTGTTCCTTCCACCCCTGGTAATCTGGTTTCTAATTCCATCATTTTGTGAAAGCTGCTCTCTGCAAAGACACTGGTAACCTCTCATCCCCCAAATCTTACAGTCTTTTCCCAGTCTTCTTTCACTTTGACCTCTGAAGAGTTTAACACTTGACTGAATCATGCATAGCAACATATCACCTGTAATATCCTTCTCTTCAGTCTCCAACTGTCAAAATCCTACTCATCCTTTAAGATCCAGTTCAGATGCCACTCCTTAATGAAATCTTCCCTGTTCCTCCTACTCTCTGAATTTCCATGGTACCTTTTTACTTTTTTTATAACACTTGTGGTATTTTCTTTTGTATTATATTTTTTGTGAACATCTTAATCCCAGATTATAAACTCATTGACACCAGAAGTCATGCTACCTTATTCTCTATCACCAAAATTCTGAACATAGTAGCTTGTGCTTAACAAATTCTCAATAAATATATGTTCAATGTGAAGAAATAAATTAATAATTGTTCTTGGATGTTTGCATTCCTTTAAATTTTGCTCTGTGCACCTTACTTGAAATGAAAAAAAATAATCATTTGGTGCAATATTTTATATTTAGTTGTTTTTCACAGTCATTTTATTATGAAAGAAATATAATTGAATGAAAAGAATATCAACCTCTGTGTCTCTGTTTCTGCCTCTCTTTCTGTCTCTCAGTCTCATTCTCTGTCTCTCTGTCTCTTTCTCTCTGATTGAAGTACTCATATCAACATCATTAATTGGCAGACCTGATCAGAAGCCCTGGAAAGCTCACAGGGCTCTTTTGTCAGAAGGCTTACCTCCTGTCTCATTTGAGAGCCCAAGAGACCATTCACCACCTAAAATCTTGGGGGACAAAAGTATTTCATTAACAGCATCTTCAACCTCATCCTCATCACTTCTGTTTATGTAGTGCTTATACAATGCTTTAAGCTTTACAATCCTCTTTACACATATTATCTCAGGTAATCTCCATAACAACCTTGTGAGTAGGTGCTGTTATTTCCATTTTGCAGATGAGGAAACAGACTTAGTGGTGAAGTGATCTGGGTCACACTGCTGGTAGATGACAGAGAGGATTGGAGCTCAGGTCTTCCTGATGCCAAACCCCCTTCCATGCCCCATCCACTAAAGCACCTATCTGCACCCCTCTATACTCCCCACCCCCTGGAGTATTTAATTGGTCTTTCTGGTCCTTCAGACATCTACCTACCTAGTCTTCTTTGGGACCTCAGTAGTTTCTTACATAGAATGTCACTGGGGCTCAGTCTACTATACAAAGGTGAATGGGAAATTCTTTAAGAAGGATTGGATAATTGAATGAGTAGGAACTTCAGAAGGAAGAAATGATAGTGGTAATGGCATGAAGAAGATATTTGGTCACTAGATTCATTTCCCTGCACCCCATCTCTGCCCTTTTTCTTTCTACTTTGTCAGGAAATCAGGAGCACAGTGACTGTCACGAAGTAAGCAATAATTAAATGCTTGTTGACTGATTGACTAGCTGACAAACTCCTTGCTCTGATATTTTAGCAGCTGTGTGACCATGAGTACATCACTTTATGTTGTTTGAGCCTCAGTCTCCACAGCTGTAAAATAGGGATAATCATACTTGAACCACGAACCTCACAGGGTTGTTGTTAAGAAAGCACTTTGTAAGTGGTAAAGAACTATATAGAAGCAAATTATTTTTGTTTGTTTGTTTGTTTTAGACCGGACCATCAATCTAGGAAGCTTCCTGTGAGGAAGTTCACCTTCTCTGCAAGTTGTAGCCTGAGGATGCTGAGAGTTTAAGCAACTTGGGTAAGGTCACACAGTCGGAGTATGTATCTGAGGTCTTCAGGACCTCAAGGCCAACTCACAGAGGTGGCCAGCTCACAGAGTTGTCCAACATAGGGCCCACAAGGGCAGCCCTAACCAAATTAAATTGTAATTGGGAAATATTCAACAAAATAAAGAAAAATACAATAACACACAGATAACATTAATATGAAGGCAGGTAGGTGGAACAATAAATAGAGCACCAGGCCTGGAGTCAAAAAGATTTATCTTCAGCAGTTCAAATCTGGCCTCAGACACTAGCTGTGTGACTCTGGACCAGTCACTTAACCCTGTTTGCCTCAGTTTCCTCATCTGTAAAATGAGATGGAGAGGCAAACCACCCTAGTATCTCTGCCAAGAAACCCCAAATGGGGTCATGAGGGGTGGGACATGACTGAGCAACAACATTAATATGTTAATTATTAATAATATTAATATGTGGTTTTCCAAGTCAATTCTCTGCTAGTGGGAATCAGTGACCCCGATTCTATTTTGTTTGATACCACTGCAACACCTTTCCTCCCACAGTACTATTATATCATGGCATTAATTGTAATCGGAGACTCGGACCTTTATCACTTTGATTCCCTGCTTTTCTAAACCTGGGTAAAAAGCTCATTCTGCTGAACTGCACAAAGTTTCAGAGAAGAAATGTGATGTCAAGACTTCCTTTTTAAAAAAAAAAAAAAAATTATAGGTCCGGAAGCCCAATTGCTATCTCATCTCCTTTTCCTGAAACTCCCCATTTATTTGCCTCTAATGGGAGAGACTGCCCCTTGAGTGACCTGCTTTTAATAAGTTTTCCAATCAGCTCACGAGTTAAAAAGTGCCCTTGCTGGTGCTGGCTTCCTCACTTTGCCCACTTGCCTCCCTCCCTCCTTTCGTTCCCTCCTTCCATTCTCCGTTTTCTCTCTGGGCTCACTCCCCGTCAAGGCGTAATTGAGTCCAAGGGAGGATCAGCTTCCCTTGCCTTGGAGTCCAGAAATCTTTCATAGCAAGTCCCAGCGGGCGAGGAAAACCACAGCTGGAAAGGGGGAAAGGAAGAGACAAGTGAGTGATCCTGTCCAGAAAGGAGAGAGAGCAGCTGGAGAAACAGCTTCCTCAGCAGCGGCGGCGGCGGCAGCAGCAGCAGCGGAGTCAGCGGGGCTGTTCCTGCCCGATCTCCTCTCGCTAGACTCCTAGCAGCCAGCATCCTCTCTCTCCGTTGAACAACAGCCAGAGCAGGAGAGCAGAGATTCACAACTCCAAGTAAGTAGGCACAAATGGAGGCATGTTGGATTTCTTCAGGGTTCGTTGGGAATCATGCGTTTCTACCACCTCGCCTTTCGATTTTCTAACAGCGGCCGGGGTATTTGGTGGTGCGGCTCAGCTTGGGGCGGGGGAAATGAGGGAGCTCTTGTAGATGATGAGAGGAAACTGAGGCAGTCACGGGTTGTAGCGCGTGCCGGTCCACTAGCTCTCTCGGCTTCATGGATATTAGTGTAGTTTTACGGCCAGAGGCTGAGAACCAAGCCGGATTATGCCTTAAGTGACCTCATTAGTTTTCCAAAAAGGCTGGCGCTTAGCAGGTGGGTGAGGGGTGGTGGATGAAGGTAAGGCAGCCAGGACATTAGAAAAGACTTTCTTTTGCATCCCACGCCCTTGCGTCTCCCCAGTGCCGCAGGTGCTCCCTCGAAGTTTATCCTGACAATCCTTTCCGACCAGTTTGGGCAGGAGTTGGGGGGTCTCCATCCTCTCAGCCCGATGGTACTGGTTACTGTTCACAGAGCAGCTGCTGCTCTTCGGCCGGAGTAAGGGCACTGAGCAGGGCCAGCGAGGAGGAGCGAGATACTTTCCTGTAGTATGGAGTACTGAATTTGGAGTTTGAAAATCTAGGGGTTCCAGTTTGGGTCCTTACACTTAGCGCTGTGACCATGGGCAACTGTTGAACCTTTCTCAGCCTCATTTTCCTCATCTGTAAAATGGGGATAACAGCATTTGCCTCTCCCACCTTCTCCAGTTGTTTGTGGAAAGCCTTAGCCTGAAAATTCATAGAGAAATAGTGTATCATTAGTGCTATGATGGTGAAGCTTGGAAGCCACAATCTAGAAAGAATTAAGTTCCAAGCTTGGAAAAAAAAAGATTTCCATTCCCTTTATCTCCTATTTAGATTGTAATTTTCAAGAAGTTCCCCAAAGAGGGATTTGAACTCTTGGTTCTTTCTTAAATACACGTCCTCAAAGACTGGACACTTAGACAAACTCATCATGCCCTTATGGTGTGTGAGTGTGTTCGTGTGTGTGTGAGTGTGTGTGTATGTGTGTTTTGAGTTGCTTTTGTTGAATAAGTCTCCAATAAGTCTAAAAGAAATAAAGAAAAAAAAACCCTGATTTTCTCCTTTTTTCATTTTCCCCCGACCCCAAGAATTTAATACCTGTATTGTTGTTCTCTCTGATTTAGTGACTGCTTTGAGATTTTGGGCATACCTGCGGTGGGGGTTTGTATTCAGGGAGGTTGTGGAAGGAAATAAGAGCAGAAAATAAAGGATCTCAAAGCTCCATTGAAAGTTTTCCACCCTTTTGTTGTTGTTCCACCCCTCACTGGTTTCTTCTTACCATATGAAAGCTAAGGGGATGTGGAAATTCTGGAGATATCAAGGAGTTTCTTTGAACTAATAGGATAATGGAGCAATTCCATGATCTCAGCTAAGTGTGGATTTGATGAAACAGCAGAATTCTATTTAACCATTTAATAACATCTTCTGGTCTTAAGGTTGATCAATATGTAGAAATATAAAAAGATGATGAGTGATGAGACGAAAAAAAAGGAGAGAATTCTTATAATATAGAAGAAGGCCCGCCCTTTTCATAAAAAAAAAACCCACAAAACTCATGTTCTTTTTATAGAGCCATGTGTGCTACCAAAGTAATGACAACATGTACAAGCCTAATGGACCCAAAGGAGAATGGGGTAGACATGGTTCTCCTGTCTACTTTGAATTTGCTACCCTAGGATTTCACGTTCTTTCAGAACAGAAAGAAATACATGTAATTTTGCATTTGTTAGGGGCTTGGGGTTGTTGTTTTATTTTAGGATTAATGAATGACTCTTCAAATGTGTTTTGTTTAAAATCCCTAATAGTAATTATATCTATTTACATATAATCACACATGTTTATACATACATATGCATATGCATTCAGATGCATGCACATAGATATGTATACATGAGTCTTTATAACATGGGCACATATGTTCTGCATGTACATGTGCACACATGTATATATAAAGTAATATTTATAAATACACATGTGTATTTTTAGGTATATATGGGTACATATATAATACACATCTGCTTATATATCAGAGTTAGAATTTGAACTCTGCCACATATGTGTATATTCATATAGGTACACACATATGCAGATATACACACATGCATATATGTGTATATGTGTGTACACCCATACATATATGTGTGTGTATATATGTGTGTATAAAGTTCAAATTCTGCCTGTTAATTAAGGACAAGTCATTTAACTTCTGTGTGCCTTAAATATATCCTTAGGATTTGTCTCTTAAGAGAGTTTCCTGAGTTGATGAAACTGTAGGTCCTTCCTATCCATCTCTCTGCGTGTGTCCATATCTGTGTCTGTATTTTGGTATAGATTTTTTTCATTTGCTTAGGGATTTCTCAGAGAGGAAAATCTCTCTGCCCATGCACATTATTCACCGTTCTGCAACTTACCATCTTTGAGAAATGCCTGGATAGATAAAGAGACTGACCCAGGATCACACAGTCAGAATATGTCAGAAGTAGAATTAGATTCCAGTTCTTCCTGAGAGACTTTATCTCTCTGCATCCACAGCACTGACTCTCATCTATGTATTCACAGACAGCCTTCCTGTACCCTCACACACTATTAGGGGTTTTTCTCGTGACATCTTATACCTTTTTTGAGTTTCTCTCCCCATCCTTCACCTGAAATCATAATCTTATTGATTTACTCCAGTTATTTTCTGCTGAGACAAATGAATAAAAATAAATTAGTCCATTTAGTCTCCTTAAAGTTAATGATTAGCCAAAACTGAAACTCTCTTTCATATGAACTTAAAAATTAAAAAAAAAAACAAAGAAAACTTTCACTTTAAAATGGAGTTTCATGGAGCCTAAGAAGACAGAATTTTGCTGTTACTTGGAATTTTCTCTGGAAGTACTGTACTTGCATTTTCTAATTTTTTAAAAATTGCTATTGATTTGGGATAGATATGTAACTCTTCAGGTGGAATCTACTCTACTGGCTCCCAAGAAATAGTTGAAACTTGAGAGACTTACTAGATGTTTCAAGAGTTCTATAGGGAATGATATCTAAGATGCTTTCAATAGAGGCAGTTCAGTGCAATAGAAAGATACCTGGGTTTGGAGCCAGAGGTCCCTGGATACAATCTTGCTTCTTTCACTTAAAATCTGGGTGATCTTGGGCAAGACACTTAAATTTTCTGACCCTCAGTTTCCTTAGTTGTAAGATGAGAGGGTTATACTAAATGATCTCTAAGATCCCCTCCAGATCTAAATCTATCTTCCTATTATCATAATCTTCATCAAGAAAATCAACCTCAGATATACATTTTATTCAGAGGCAATCTTTTTTTCTCAGTAACTCAACACGCATGAAACATACAATCTCTTAAACTGCGACCACATCCCTATTGAGAAATGGAACCCATATTATCCCAAGGGTTTTTCAGAGGAGACAATGGAGGGAAAGATGATTAAATTAACTTTTTATAAGTCATACAGACTCAAAGGCAGGACCTGGGACAGATTTAGAATCCTAATTTCTAGGTCCCTACCTACCTTACTCTCATAATAAGTTGATACAGACCCTAAAGAATTAGAGTTGTCCCACTTCCTTTGTTCTGAGGACCATCTTTATCTCAGGGCTCACCTGCCAGTTAACCTCTTCTTTGGTTATTGAAGGTTAAATTGGTTCTATTTCCAGGCAAAGTGAACTCTTAGAAGTACCTGAATGAGAATTCCCCTGGAACCATTGTCTCCATCTGGTCAGTGGCTCTAGAGGCCTTGTGTTTTCCTAGCTGGCTTTTTGTTCTTACATACTTGACCATGAAGCCAAATGGGGATCAACTGTAATAGTAAAAAATCTCTCTCCTTTGACGGCTGTCCCAATGAATCAATCAACAGAAAGTCTTTAGTCTCCAGGTGGGTAGCAGGTCACTGAACACATCCCCTGGGTAATAAGAAGGTTCTGAAATGGGCCAATCTAACTCTTTACTCTGGCCGTACAATCCTTTTCCATCTGGAGCTGATTAGTTTGCAAAGAATTTGGGTTGTGACCTCACCTTTTGGAGGCCATTCAGCATTCTTGATGTTTCTGGCAGACTCAGGCTCTACCTACGGGCTCATTTTCCATCCATTCAATACCATTCTTGCGTATGGCAGATTTTCCATAGATCACCTCACTCTTCTGAGGTAGTAAAATCTGATGGCAAAAAATTTGTTGCCTTTGATGTTTAATTAGCCCAAATATAAAACTACTAGGGACTTAAACTTAAGTGGTCATTAGATATTATCTGTACACTGATATTGTGCATTTTATTATGTATGTATGGTATCATGGTGGGGTGGCAAGCATCTTGGATTTGAAATCAAACAACTTGGGATTGAGTCTCAGCTCTGTCTTGTATTACTTATGTGACCATTAGCAAGTCACTTAAACTCTCTAGGTCTCCATTTCATCTTAATAAAATGAAGGAATCAGACTAAATGATCTCTATGTTTCCTCCCAACTTTTAAATCAAAATCCTTTGACTGATACGTATATCATGCAAAAACGTCTGATCCATCGTTGATTCTTAACCTCATAAGGACAGACAAAGAATATAGTAAGCAAATAGAGCTTAATTTCAGAAGAAACAGTGGTGTAATTAGGTTAGGATTAGCTTCACTTTTCATTTTGACATGATTTGAGAAATAATGAGGATGCAGTTGTCCCCAATAGACTTCACTGTAAAAGTTATCTCTTAATAGGTAAGCCTGTTTAGCATTCAGTTAAAGAGAGATCTTAATCATGAATTTCCTAAAAATGGAATTCCTAGAACCACTGGTTTAGCATCCAAAAAGCATTCCATTGTTGAATTATGCCAACCCCTAAGGAAATGAGTTAGAACAAATAGAGTTCTTATCCATCTTCCAGAAATTTGTCTGGGTAAAAACCTTAATGTACACAGAGGAAATATTACAATGCAACA